ACAAATTAAACATTTGTTTTGATTCACAAAAACAAATAATGTCATTTTAAAAAATACATAATATTTATAATTAGTTATGTGTATACAGTATGGACACTCTGCCTTATGCAAAACTTTACCTTATGCAAGACATTTATTATTTGATTATAATATAAATAAATTAATTTAATAGTTAAAAAATTCAATTCTAAAAATACCAGACACTCTGCCTTATGCAAAAAGCTATTTTGAGGATGTTTTTTGGTTATTTTTGTAAAAGAAAATCAGAACTTGAAAAGGAAAAAATGGATTTAAGGTTCAAAATCAACAATTTGTTGTTCCTCGTATTCGGCGTACTCTTCATTTGTGAAGGGACGTCTAATCCCATTAGAGTCAAACATAGGCATGGCTAGGATTTGCCTATCTGTCTTTGTTGGGCGCCTCAATGTGCGGGTTTCGAGTCTTTGACCAACTTCAGGAGAAATTTCATGGTTTGTATTTTCTTGATTTTGAATAACAGTTGTATACTCAATATCAAGTTGGCCTGGTGCCAAAGAAGATGTCACTGTGCCAAAGGGTTGATGTTGATGAACGATATCAACAAAATCGCGTCTTTCGGTGTCAATAAGTTCGAGTCTCGAGTTGTTGAAATTACTCGATGGTGCTTTAAATTGTTCTATGAGAAGTTGAACATCACGGTCAGTAATTTGCAAAGCAGTAGTCGTTTGGATTTGATCTTGTGGAGGAGTCAATTTTATACATTGTTCTCTATTGAGTCTGATGTGATACTCGTTCATGAAAACTTGTGCATCGTTAATACTGATATAAATTCTCATTCTATTGTCGATCATTCGTATAACAACTCCTCCTCTTTTAAAAGAAGCAATTATGTTTCTGGTGGTTGTTTTTTCTTCAATTATTTCGATTATTTTTCGAAGGTGAACAGAAATCAAAAGACCTCTATCCATGTTTCTGTCTTCATTGTTTCTTTCTGTGATTGGGTCGGTGATTCTTACATCTTTAATCCACTTAGTCATGACCTTTTCAATCTCACTGGTGTTCAAAACATCTACAGTAAACCGATCTGTTGTTGGAACAAACGCTCCAGTAGTTACATGTTGATCCATGTTTATGTTTCGAGAAACAGTTTTTACCATTGGGATGTGTGATGCAGCACTTTTTTAATAACACCGAAAAGACACAAGTCTAATGGTTGAACTAAGTGGCTTGTGTGTGGTACAAAAAGTGTAAATGAATGTTGTATGAACGAAAAATTTGAACCAAGTTTTCATCAACATGAGCTCCAAAATTGTCCATACAAATGACACTTTTGTCAGTGTTTTCCAATTTTAAGTTGTTCTTCTTGTTGATGATGAATGGAAGGAGAATGTTGAACATCCAAAAAACAAAAATCTTACGGTTAACAAATCCGGTTTTGCTCTGAAAAACACTTAATAGCAGATGTTCTGCTTTGATTTTTGCATCAAACTTCACGTTTGGTATAACGGATGCAATAGGACATTTAGTCCCATCTGCACAGATGCACATGATAATAGTGCTGCGTTTTCCAGATCGGCTTATTCCATACTTCAATTTCTCTTCTGGATTTTTCGTGAAAACTGTTAAGTTCTCTTTGTCCGTCCAATCGCTAAATCCAACCTCATCTATATTAAAGAACAAAGCAGAACACGTTCCATTGAAGTTATCAGAAAGTGTAATATAATTGTTGACAACTTTCTCGGGATCGATGTTGATTCTTTCCAGTTCTTCCGTTTTTGCTGTTCGAGTGAAGTAGTGATGCCTCTGTTTAATATGTTTTATGATATCTCGACGAGTCATTTCAAATTCATCATCAAATAAACGACATACCATTTCAATTAAATGTGGGGTAACACTTTCATGCGAAGCCTCGCACATTTGAAAAAGAGCTGAAATCGCAGTGTCCATCACATTGTTGATTTTGCACACACGGGAAGGAGTTGAGAGCGTCTGTTTTAAATGTGTATGTATTGCTCCTCCTTTGATACCAAATAACACTCCGATTGTTTCTTCTGTTGGAGGTGATGTTTTGGAAATATTACGAATATATCTAATTTGCTCCACTTTAGTTTTGAGAATAAACGGTATGTCGCTGATTTTTGTGTAAAGTTCCTTTGCTGCTCTTAAAACATTTTCCATTTTCTTTCCTGTTTTTTCGTCTTGATTATTTATTTCATTTTCGTAATTGGTGATATTGGTAGCCATATTTTCGAGACTTATAGCTGATTCTCGTCTTTCTTTTTCGATGGGAACAATAAAAGGAGGAACAAAGCTATCAGATTTTACGAAGTTTTCGATAATAGTTTTTAATGTGAATGAAGTGTCGTGAGTAGATTCGGTTTCCATGATTGTTGTGATGTTATTTAGTGTTTTTACCAATAAATAATGTAAAATTATTTTAACTATCAGTTTAATCAATTGATTATTTTATTATATTAATTAATTTGTTTAATTATGATAATTAATAATTCTCAATTTATTAGTTTATCAAATGAAATTAAACATTTTCATAAATAATTAAAACAATTTGACACAAAAAAATATAAATAAAAAATATTTTTACATTTTTTGTCCATTAACTGCGGTTATTATTAACTCACAATAATAAAACTCAAATCATTTTTTTTTCAAATTCGTTTTGTGTTATTATTATCATTTTTGAAAGAATCTGAAATTTTGTTATTATAATAAAATAACTATATATTTTAACAGATTTCTTGCATAAGGTAAAGTTTCACATAAGCTAAAGTGACCATACTGTAATCCCTTTCCAAACATATTTAAATGGTCGTTAAAAATTTGTTTTTAATGTAACACTATGAATTATCAATTATTATTTAAAACAAATTGTTAATGTTGAATATTATCGACATTTTCATTTTTATTTAAAAGTCAAAAAGTGTTAGATTTGGGTAATTTATTTGAATATGTATTTTGCGTACACGTCAGATAACAATTTACTTTATTTTATCAAGTAGTACATCATTTTGTAGAATATCTAATTAAAATACTTCAAAAATCCTATATATTATTTCATAAAAAAACAAGTAATGTCTGTTGATGAAAACACAACACATCAAACAATTAAATGTTCATATTTATGTTATAATAATTATTCAAAATAAAGATGGTTGTGATACATTACAATTTTACAGAAATTAACATTATATCAAAAACACAATAATAAAATGGTATAACAAATTGTTTTTTGTCTTTGTGTTTTTTGTGTTTTTTATTCCTGAATAAATAATCATTTATTACTATAATTTACCTAAAGACCTGAGACGTACTTGCACTAAGCGCCATACCTGCACTAGCTTACGTGGCAATACCTTTTTACAAAAAAACATGGACAAAATGAGATAAAATGATAAAATAAAAAGAAAAGTTGATGCATGGTCCGTAGAAATTTGCGTTTTTACATGAAAAATTAAATTCCCAAAAATGTTTTTTTGTAAAAATTAAAAACTAAATAATATCAAGTTTTTTCAGTTTTTAGAGCACAAAACCCAATCGCAAACACTAAAAAAAGAACAACAAAAAATAACTAAAAATAAATATTTATTATGAAAAAAGTCCCAATAAATAATTATATAAATACTAACATGTTTAATACAATTTTTACCAAAATGATATTTTTCAAAAAATGTATTAATAATTATTTATCATTATATTACATTTTATTTTTATTCAGATTTTAGAAACAAACCAAAATAATCACTTTATTTCAAAAAAGCTAATTAATATAAAAATTATAAAACTTTACAAGGTAATAATTAACCAAAAAATCAAGAATACCAAGTGAGAATCAAAAATGATTCATTTATTCCCGAAAAAACACATAAACAAAAACCATTAATTTGCTAATATTTTATTTTTGAGCAACCAATCAAATTAAACTATTATATATAAAGACATTAAAATAAAAATAGGCAAATGTTATGATTTATTTTTAAAAGTAATTTAAAAACATTTATAAAGAACAAAAATAGAATAACTTTTCAAATTAAACACCAAAAACCATTTTAATTTAATGTCAGAACAGCTTACTTGTGACTTTTATATAATATCAAGTTGGGTGTGCTTAGTTTATTAAAAGCATAAAAACATCAATGATAATATTGTATGTTGTCACTTGTGCACGTGTGTTTCGCCTTTTTATTTCTGCCGTATTAAACTTATTTTTTGTTTTCAGTCAAGACCAATGTTTTCTTTTAAAAGTGTAAACTGTTGTTCATTAAAAATTGAACCTTGATTAATGGTAAATCTAACCTATTTGTTAATTCAAACATCATTATCATTACCAACAAGAAATGGTAAACAAACTTTTTGTAGATTTTTATTTCATAATATCAAGCGCCATGTAACAATAAATAATAACATTTTATGTAAATGTCATTTTAGTCGTCAACAATTACTTATTTGTTGAATCATACAAAGCATTCATTTCAATTTCACTTAAATGTTAATAAAAACATTGATGCAAAAATCCTAAGAAGTCGTGTAATTTAATATCTCCATGTAAAATGTATATTAAAAACGACTTTTTAATTCGTTGAAACTTAATTTCATTTGCATAAAAATGTTATTCAATATGTTATTATATGTCAATGTTGTGGTTGTACATACTTAACTTAGTATTATAACAACATAATATAAGTGAACTACATGTACACTCCTAAACTTGTCCAAAATTGATATTTCATTTTTGAATTAATCCATTGAACATTTACTGTTTATGCTTTTCATTGGCTTTATGATTACAACGATTTTTTGTAACTTTGTTGTCGATAATAACAAACAATACTTCTCCTAGTTTCTTGTCAATGTTACTTTCAACACATCATAATGCAATTTTAAATGCATTATAGAGTTACAAAGACTTTAAAATAGAATGCTTCACTACTTTTACGAAGTCACCGAACACCATTTATATGCGAAACGTACAATTATTTCACCAGTTGTGTGTCACATTCATTTTCAAAATGATTTGTTGTCAAACATAAAAGCTCACAAAACTCCATTTTAACGAGAATGACAACATACTTGTCATCAAATAACAACTTTTTTTTTGTCAAAACTTTGCTATCAATCACACTCATTTTGATGTTATAACAACTTATTACAAACACGCAGACATTTTTGATCATTTTTGTTTCATTATGATTTCGTAAAACAATTATTTTGATTGGTATAATACGTATTATAATATGTATTATTGTGAATTTTGTAACAATTGTAATAACACAGTTTTTTGTCGTATAAATTTTACACAACTTTTCGTTACCAAATTTGTAATTATATTATTATTTTAAACATTTGTTGTTGAAAGACTTTATGCATTTTTAGATGACTGTATAACATAAGCAGACATTTGACAACAGCTTGTTTTTGCACAATCTATACACTCATTAATACTATAGCATTGTGTATATATGTCTGTACCCTTCACATTTAATTTGTTAAAAATATGGGTTTAGGAAAATTCGCCCGATTATATTTCGCCTGTATTTTTTTTCGCCTGCAAAAAATCAACAAAAGTTCAACACTAAACAATTATGAATCAAGTTTCTTTTTTTATATAAATTTTGCTTAAAATATGTTTTAATATCAACTAACTTTTGTAAACCAAACACTAAAAACCAGTTATTAATTTCTGCTTTTTCTGATCATTTTTCTCAACTTTTTAGTTTTCTGATAATCAGACACTTTTCTTGGCTTTTTTTTCATTGTGAGCTTTAGTTGCTTTTTTAGTTTTCTTTTTCAAGTCTTTTAACCTGTCATTTGTAGTGTTAACATCTTTTTCCATATTAACAGAAACAAGAGTGCTCTCGTTTAAACTGCTGTGTGGATCTTCTATTCCATTATGCGATGAATGGCAAAAATGATTATAATTTGCAACTTCTGAAAGTGTACTTTTTCTCATAATTTCAATCAATTCATTTTCTTCGTTGACTTCTTTGATTGCAGTATTCATGTCCAAATCAAACAGAATTATGTTTTGCTTGCTAGATAAAATGGTCACACATTTTTTAAGGAACACAATTGGGTCAAGTTTGTTTTCGCCGATCAGTTGGTTTTGTAGTTCTTCTAATGTCAAATTTTTCTTAATCGACAAGTTTGATTGGCGACTTTTTTGAAGGTTAGTTTCATATGCTTGATATTTCAAATTGATAATTTTTTGAAAAGACAACAATTTTTCCAAAAACTTATGGATGACTGGATGTGTCGTGCCGATGTATCTGTTAAGTGCGGAATGGAAACTTTCTGACCTGTTATTTGTTCTTTCAGATAATCCAAACACCGACCAATTTGCTGTTCTAAACACGCCTTTGATATAGTTGTTTTCGAAATACTCTAGAAACTTTTCAAAATCTTCATCACCACCCATTTCACTTTTGATTCTTTTGAATGTTTCAACAATAACGTCTTCTGGTAAATAAGCAGTTGCCATGAGCATTTTGACACCCAACTTAAAAGTGTCTCCTTCCACAAAACGGCGAGACAATCCCATTGTCAATACTCTCCTGTACAGAGATTGGCAAAAGTGGAAATGACAACATTTTATTGTCACCTCACTTCCAAACAGGTCTTTAAAATGTACAACCTCAAAATCCCCCATAACGACAACATTATTGTGAAACACTTCTTTATCACACAATCTTTCAATTTGATTGAATAGTTTGGAATAAGTCTCTTTTGTTTTAGATGTCAAACAGGCATAAAAAACGGGGAAAGACTCTCCGTTTTTTAAAGCGTGCCAAGTGTACAGTTGTGAAAATAGCTCTGTAAATCAGTTTAAACTGACATTCACAACCAATTCAATTTATTATTAAAACAACAAA